GTCGCATACCTCGCAGTGCGTCGCCGGCCACGCGAAGATGCAGCGGGGATGGAACCGATGTCCGCACCCGTCCAGCTCAAGAATCGCTCCGCAAGACTTGCAGGCCTCGCACCGCGTCGAGTTATCGCCTTCCAGGATGGCAGCAACGGCAACGGCGGTGTGGTCCATGACAGGCGCAACGCTCAAATTGAAGAGTGAGGCTCTACATTAGCCTTCGCCGCCTTTCGCTAAGATGCTCCAGCTACGCAAGCAAGTTGTGCGCCGCGCGCTGCAGACGCGTGCCATCGAGTGGACCGCCATCTCGCAGAAGCTGACTGACCCGCGTGCCCGCGCTGCCCTGGACAGCCTCCGTGACGTGCACGGCCAGGTCGCCGCCGAGGCCCGTAACTACGTGAAGGAGCCTGAGGCGATCGACTTCGATTACTACCGCTCGGTCATCAAGAACAAGGAGCTGGTGGACGCCATGGAGGCTAACTACAAGAGCATCTCCTTCCCGACCATCACTCCCGAGGAGCTGGACGCCTCTGCCAAGTCGGCTGACCTTCCGGAGGAGCTGCGTTTGAACGAGCAGGAGACGGTCGACAAGCTCGTACGTTGGGCTACAAAAAATGGTATTGCAATTATAGCTGATATTGACTATTTTTTGTATAATTGCTGAGTACAGTTCGCCCAGCTGGACGAGAAGGTGACGGACTCGAAGGCCCGCATTGAGGAGCTGAAGGAGCTCATCGGTCTGATGGAGGAGACCCGCACGACGCTGGCCACGACTATGGATGAGGTGACGGCCATGTACCCGGAGGTTGAGGAGGAGATCGACGACGAAATCGCCAACCTCGACTGGGAGAAGGACACGCAGTAAGATGCTGTCATCTAAGGACAGATAAAAATCTTGGACGCTGCAGCTTTCTACAAGAATACAGATGCAAAGTGGACGAGGGAGGCTTGATCAAGCAGGCGAGCAAGTGAGCACGTACAGCACAAATCGAGCTCTCCTCGTGGTTGGTGTATCCTCTTTAATTGCCAGCTCTTCCAAACACGCAAATTGAAGTGGGTTTGCATGTGTCTCGCTCCCCGACTCGTCCGTTTTTCACGTATATTCGGTGGTGTCTGCAACTCGTAACAGGATGTTACAACTATTTCAAAGCACAGCCCTTAACACCTTGATTACAATTATTGCTGGTGTTTTAGGCCATTCTTTTAGTTACTCACGCGTGCGGTAGGCTTCCGGAACGCGAAATAGCTCCTTGGGGTTCTTGGCTATCTCAGTGTCCACACAAGCGTTGTAGGCTAGTAGCGCGTCTTTGCACTTCTCGAGCGCCACATTGCCCACCTCGGTGTCGGACTCGCCCTTGGGCTGCTTGCCGTGCTCATAGAAACACCCGAAGAACTTGGTCGCCACCTTCTCACAGGGCTTAGGCACTCGCGGGAAGTTGTCGCTCACGCGCAGCTCAGTCGTGTCCGCCATCATCGTCTACCGATCAACGCGTATTGAGGTCTTGAAAATTGTAGGGTGGAGATTTGAGTTTGAGTAATCGGCGATGATACAAATTTTAAGTACAGTGAAAACGCTGCTTTGATTAGATGAGTACATCGGCAAGAGCGAGATGAAGTGAAGTGAAGTACGAATTGCAAGTCTGGTTTGGGTCAAGGTCAAACAAAAATCTCTTAATCTATCTATCGCGCAGTGCTGTTGGTCTACGTATCATCATTTCTCGCTACTGCTCGCACTCTCCTGCGACCATTTGAGCTTCTCCTTGCCGGCCGATCGTCTGTGCTGTGTATGTACTGGTACTCGATCGGCCTGTTATCTATTTGCATGGAAGCACAGCGGATATTAACTGCTCAGTCGTCAGATCGCCGAAAACTCCCAGAACACAAAAAGTAGTAGAGCATTGATGCACCACGCAATACGCTCCCCAGTTTCTCAATTGATAGCATGCACCAAAGCAAAACTAGCCGAACGCCACGTGGAGCATCAACTTCTCCATATGCAAAAGAAAAACACTTACGTTCCGTCGTCATCTTCGCCGTCGAAGTACAGGAACTCGGACGATGTGTTGAACGCAACTCCCGAGTCCAGGAACGTCGCAAGCGCAGCACCAAGCGGCCGAGCCACCTATTACATCCAAGAATACGCAATTAGCAAGCCATTACAAGTCCCAAAACCGCATTGCAATGCACGCAACATACGGCGCTGCCGAAGCGATTCTTGCTGGTCTGCACCAGTTTCTCGATAGTAGCTGAGTTTTGCTTGCCCGCAGAGGAGCGTGCCATTGCCCTGGCCACTGCGCGGGTCATCTTGAGCCGCTGCCCGAATCGGTAGTACGTCATGGCGTCCTCCGTCTGCGGGTGGTACAGTAGAAGTAAAGAATTGGTGGCCGCATGTTTTGGATGAAAGCAGCAAGCCATGTACCTATAATGTGGTACGTTGTCAAACAGCTGGTGTAAACTACGTAAAGCTGTCAATAACTGTAGCCATGAAGTCGGCAAGTACTCGGTTGCAAATGTGCATGTTGCTTGCACTGTACGTGAATGAGAAGGTGATGCACCTGGTAAATTTCAACAATACCCATTTGCCTGGGGTTTTACTGTAGTTTACCAGGCTCTAATGCTGGATGTGAAAGAAGTTCCTCAGCGTTAAGTGAATGCATAAATATTGTCTTGTGATCAATTAACGAGTTGAAGATGAATTGCTGGCAGGTGCAAACCAGCCCCACGCGGGGTCGCTGCACTCTTCTCCTGGTGGACATTTTCCTTCGTGCAAACAGGACCAGACTTGCTCGCCGGTATGCTCTTGAAATTGCATGTCCTGCGAAACACACGAGAGTTAGCATTGTGGTGATGTGGTGCCAGCTCCTAATAACGGTTTGAGACGAACCTCGTGATGGGCCTTGTCGAAGACGGAGCTGGCGCGCGAGCGGAGTCCACCTGAGCTACCGAGAGACGACTCTGTACTGGCGGAGCTGTCGGCGCCGCTGTGTCGAAGGTCCTTCTTCGTGTCGATCTTGAGCAGTCCGAGGTGCAGCGCAGTCACGGACCTTGCAATCTCATCCTGTGTTACTTGGCCATTAGCTGGGTTGTCTTCGTCGTTCTCTTCGTCACTATCCTCGCCGTACTCATAGTACTTGGCTACTGAGTAGCTGGTAATCCCCACCACTACACCGGCGGCGATCGCCGGGTTCTCGCGCAGCCATCGCACGCCGTCAAGCACCTCGGCCGGTGTCGGTAAGTATGATGGAGATCCTATTTTTGTAAAGAGCTTTTCCATCAGTGCAATTCACACTCTATTCGTCTCAGAACCTCCTCTTTGCCTGAAAGCCGTTGAATTCAGTTGTGGCTTGGGCAAAAGGTGGCTTGTGACTGTGCTGGTTGCACAGCTGGCTTACTGAGGTGATATGTTGACGCGCCGTCCTCGTGAAGTAATTCGGGGCTACTTCATGTAACGGCAACTGTCCCGGCGATCCAAGTAGGGCACTCGCGGATCAGGTTGGCTGAGTTCAAACGGGACCCTAAGCAATCTTCCATCTCCACCCAACCAGCTCAGTAACTAAATGTGTACTGTGGTTTTGAGCATCAGGCAAGTACATTTAGCAACCTTCCCTCGGGGTCCGGCGGTCCATGTCCTTGTTAAAGCAGCCAAGAGTGTCGTTACGGCCTTAAAGTAAAAAAGTCAATTTCAGCGCGTGCATTTGTGCTTGAACCACGCTGACACTGCAGAGACTAGCTTCGCAGACACGACGAATAGAGTACAGCCACTTGCTACGTAGAAACGGACCCGTCGTCGGTGGTGGCCGCGACGAGTTCTGCATTGCACGTATCCTCCAAGGTCCAACTGCGCGGATGACAAGTGATCATCGAGCGAACGTAACTTCAACTTGGGTGGCCCACACAGTTAAGCTGAAGCTGTTTACCAATCATATTTTATTTTTTTTAAGTTAAAGCTGGTTTAGCACTCGGGGCGAGCGCTATCAGCCCCGATTAACTGGTACATCTCTCTCTCCGTGCTCGGGACTGTAACAGCCCGACAGACTATTGTACACTGGTGCATACAGTAATGGTCTGACTGGTGCATGTAATAATAGTCTTTCTCTCTGACTCAAAGACTAAGTGAGTCCGTTACGTAGAAGGCAGCGAGCCTAAGGAATCACAGTGGATGTCATTTGTGCGTTACAAGTTCCTATCTGAATGTCACTCCCAATATCTCGTCTGGTGTGTCATCGCAGGCATTCATTTGTTTGGCGACTAGCGAGCCAGTTCTATGAGCGGATAACATTATCCTTTTACCCCATAATGACAGCGATATTTACAGTAGCAAACAACGCTAGTATAGCTCGAAGAAACAGCGGCGAGGATCATTAATGTCGCTGTAAAGCCTATGTCCACTGGAGCCTTAAATCCTATGTCGATTGGAGCCGAATCGAGAATTCGAATCAGTGCTGGTTCTCGTTTCACGGTTAGATGTTTGTCAAGATGCTGCGAAGCGGTCAAACCACTGAACTGACTCTGGATTCGTAGTCAACAGTAAAAAAAAGTCAATCTGCGGCTTTAAAATGTCTTGGATGCTAATAGCTTTCAGGCGGCTACGATCCTGGTAAAGTTTTTCTTCGCCTAAAGACGAGAGTTGAATTATGGCACGACTGAGCAGTACGGCTTCGATAGTATAAACACTTCGTCGCGGTCTCTATTTGTTGATACGCTTTGGCTAAGTTGTTTGATTAGAGTAATGCGTGTGCAGCTGATATTCAATAGTAGTCTCTCCTTTCCAGGATAAATTCTCCAATCGATATGTGCCATTTTCGAACTTAACAAGAACTTGAATTGCCCTACCCCTCACGAACCGGTCAGATGAACCGCGGACCGTCATTCGCCGTTTGCCATTTTTCCTCTCTTATGACTGGCCGATAGTGCTGCGGGTGCTTGACTTCGCTTTTGTATGCTTTGACTTGGTTGGTCCGAAACCTTTGCGACCTCCTCCAGTGGGCATTCATTTTGCGAGAGGAAAGGTGCGTTGGCGCGTCAATGAGGCCGCTCTGGTTGCCTAGTTCGTCGTCTGCAGGCGCTATCTTGCACCCAGCAAGGAGCCACAGGCTCGTAAATGAGAACCCCATGCAAGCAGGTCTTTCAGACTCGCCATACAGACTGAGAATAAGCACACTCGGCACTGAGTTGATACAGGGCAGCAGGGGCGTCTATAGACGACGGATTGGCGACGAGAGTACAGATTTTCGCGACGAATTTGAAAGCTGACAGGACACTTTATCGTTGGCATATTACAGGGAATCATGCAGATCTTTGTGAAGACCTTGACGGGCAAGACCATCACGCTGGACGTGGAGCCGTCCGACAGCATTGACAATGTCAAGCAGAAAATTCAGGACAAGGAGGGAATCCCGCCTGACCAGCAGCGTCTGATCTTCGCTGGCAAGCAGCTCGAGGACGGCCGCACGCTCTCGGACTACAACATCCAGAAGGGTGCGACATCCATCGATCGAGTTTATAACCAGTAAAACCGGTGTGCTAACCTTCCTATATGCTCCTAACAACAGAGTCGACCCTCCACTTGGTGCTGCGTCTGCGTGGTGGTGCCATTGAGCCCACGCTCGCCGCCCTGGCCAAGAAGACCAACTGCGAGAAACAGATCTGCCGTATCTGCTACGCGCGTCTCCCGCCCCGTGCCACCAACTGCCGCAAGAAAAAATGCGGCCACAGCAACCAGCTGCGCATCAAGAAGAAGCTCAAGTAATTGCTAGGTCAACTGCTATCGGCTTTTCCTTCTCGCGGACGGGAAGTGGATCGCACTCTCAAGAAGCGCACGACGGCAATCTGCAGTATTGCCTCTCTTTGTTTAAGCAGCAGGTGGCAACACGTCTTTCACTGACTGTGGTGCGCTGAAGGATGAACTACTGCTATGCAGTGAGGAACTCAATACACATCTGTCGCTGCGCTCGGCCCCTCTCCAATTCATGCTGTTTCTATTGTTTTACCTGTTTATTGTAAGTGTTATCGGTAATGATCCACGGTATGGATGTGAGCTCGCCAACACGTTGCAACTGTCGACCCCTTTCATTGTAATACGTTCGCCCACCTCCTTGACTCAGTATCACTGGTAGCTTCTTCGGATTACGATTCTCGGTATGTCAACTTTCTTAACTTCCATCTTTAAAGACAAGTAAGTCCACCTTCCCGAATGCAAGCAAATAAGTGCATTTCAAGCTCCACCCGTCCATCGCAGCATTCAAGTCTTTCCTCACGATGGAAGAACATTTTTGAATCAACGCAGAGCATCCAACAATGGCAAGAGCATAGCGGCTGATGAACCCGGTGCCATTTCCAAATCTAACAAAACGCCGGCTGATCACATCGACTGAGCGCTGACCAACAAGGCCAATAGCAGCTGATGTATTGCTGCTCACAGTTTTATCCAGTGCTTCCATGTCAAACATGTATCGATCAGCAGCGTACTTTTTGATTTCACAATCGCCTGACGCAGTATCGACCGGCAGCTTTTCTCAAAAATATATTTACTGGAAATGAAAAGTTTCTGGACAAGAAATAACTTATTGAAGTACTCAGAGGGAAGTAAACCACTTTAAAAAACACTTGGGACATCCAAATGATGCCTTACAAAATAGCAGTATATATTTTTGAGCTGGTCAAAAACTAGAAACGAGAGGTTCTCCCGCTAAATACGCTTCAGCTTGCGCTATATCATGTTTATCCTTACTATTGCAACAGAGAAAGCTATGCGAGCCAAGTCCTAGTAAAGTTTGATAGCGAGGGCATAAAAACAATTTTGGGTCACGTTGTTCACTAAAGCATCACTTGTGCGTCTCGTGAAAGCACCGACATGTGATGGTACCTACCTGTAGGCAGTTCAAGATGACAATCTCTTCGAAGCCGTTGGAGGTTATTTGGATGCATCAAATGAAGTGATACCGGTCGATAGGGCTCCCCAAAATTTAATTTAAATGGATTTCTACTCTGATCAGAACAAATACCTGCATGGTAGCTCGGAAATCTGCAAATAACAGCACCAAAACGTGATCGTGCTACTAGCGTAATGGCTTCGAGAAGAACTTGCTCCTCGAGCGTTGGGAACGCATCAGAGAAGCGTCAGAACATGGCTAAGGTTGTGAAAGTTGGCAAACTGAGTTTAAGTCAGCGGCACCGGTTTGCCGATATCTTAAGAGCAGAAATCTAAAAATAAATTTTGTGAAATAATAGACAAATCCATAAATAATTTATCAAATTGTGACCAACAGACTCGCCTAAAACCGTGTACGTTTTCGTTTGTCTTTTTAAACTAACTTGTTGGACTCATGGGCCTCATATTCGTAAAAACTCATTTGTGCCGGCTTCTCGAAATACGGGCGCTTTCCATCGTAATTTTGCAGCGGAAGTCATCAATATCAATAGCTCCTATTGGTATCCATTGTACTGTAGTACTAGAGTAAAGTAATACGTAATACTACCTATACTATTTCGTATCAGTATTACAGAACAGCACTTCTACTACTACTACAAGCACAGCAGCGTACTACAAAATTAAGTAGTACTGGATTTAGTACTCATACTACGTAGTACTACTGTCACAGTAACTGTGATATTGCTGGTAGTCCTACTTGTTCAAATGAGGCTGCGTAAAAAAAATGATACTTATGAACCTAAGTACGAATCGGGCGCCTCCTCTATCTTTTGAGCCCTTATAAGCTACAGAATGTTTAAAACTGAAGAAGTTGTGGTCGCTCAAAAATATTATCTCCATTTATGGGCCCTCGAAATGACGATACATTTAGGAGTGTTGTGAGCTCAATATTTTTTCAATTTTAAAAATTTAAGTGTTATTTAAAAGCTCTTGTTAAAAGCAATTAAATAAGGGTAGCTTTACAGTTTTTTCGATACAATAAATGTCACTGTTTCGGTTACCAGTAAGTGTGAAAATCAATTGGGCTCGATTATCTCAATAACTCTAAATGGTTCATAAGTATCATTTTGTTTGACGCAGCCTTAAATATGTGTGCACAATTACTACATGTTCACAAATTCTAAATTCTTAGCAGAAGGTGAAAAACTCCCAGGATGTCATGTTGAAAACCAATTTCTACACTACCACCCTTAGACAGCTAAAGACGCTTGAACGCTTAGTTGCCCACGGCCCACACGCGGACGATACCGTCCGTGTAACCCGAGAAGAGCACGGAGCCGTCAGCCGACCAGGCCAGCGAGATGCAGTGCGGGGGCTGAGCGTACTTGCCCTTGGGCTCCTCGATCTCAGGCTGCAGGTCGTGCACGACGATCTTCGACTCGAGGTCCCAGATCTTGATGCCCGACGTGGTGGCAGCGCACAGCCAGTAGCGGTTGGGCGAGAAGATCAGAGCGTGGATGACGTCGCCAGCCACCAGCGAGTAGAGGCGCTTGCCCTCGTTCAGGTCCCACAGGTTGGCAGTGCCGTCCTTGCCACCCGAAGCGCAGATGGATCCATCGGGGGACACAGTTACCGTGTTAAGGTAACCCTCGTGGCCGAACAGGTTGGTGCGGAGCTTGCAGTTCGACAGGTTCCAGATCTTGACGACCTTGTCCCAGCCGCACGACACGATGAGCGGGTTGGCGGTCGAGGGCGAGAAACGCACGCACGAGACCCACTCGGTGTGGCCGTCCTCAGTGATGGTGTACTTGCACTCACCCAGAGTGTTCCATAGCTTGACGGTCTTGTCACGCGAGCCCGAAACAATCTGACGGTTGTCGGCGCTGAAGGCCACAGACAGCACGTCCTTGGTGTGTCCCACGAAGCGACGCGTGGTGATGCCCGTGTTCAGGTCCCACAGACGCAAGGTGCCGTCCCACGAACCGGACAGAGCGAACTGACCGTCCGACGAGATGACAACGTCCTCCACGTAGTGCGAGTGGCCCTGCAGGCGGCGACGGGCGAAGCCGTACTCCTCGCCGTCGTTGGACAGCTGCCACACAAGCAGCGACTTGTCGCGCGAGGCAGTCAGAAGCAGGTTGGGGTTCTCGCGGGTAGTGGCGATAGCCGTCACGGCCTTGCCGTTGTGGCCGTCAAGCTCGGCGCGCGGGTAGATGCTGGTCTCGGCCATGGTGAAGGGGTTTTCCAAAGTGGGGCAGCTCCGGTAGGCTCTCAAAAAGCCCCCCTTTGAATGACCACCAGTCAACAGAGATGAACATGATTGGACGAAATAAAAACAAAACGATCATCGGATTGCACAGGTGTTGTCGACGAAATGTAGCCATGTTTCTACGTAACTGCACAGCCCGCTTCTCATCATGTACACACGCTTGGAAATTTGTCCAGAGCGTAATGGACGCTCCATAATTCATTCGGACCCGTGCATCCCGACTCTCTCTTCTTCGTTTCTTCAAGCACTGTAATGCATCTGAGGCAATTGGTATTGGCTGTGGTGGCTGTCCTCCTCGCTTGCAGTGGTGGTGCTACTGCTGACCTGAATCGTCGCGGTTTGCTGTTGATTGACGACGTGGAGTATGAAGAGCGACGCAGATCCGCTACTGGAGCCATCACATCGGGACAAGCAGGGATAGTGACAACAACGACCGTCAATGAAGACAAGGGTGGGACGGTGACTGTCACGACTTACAACGACGACGGACTGTGGCAGCGTGTCAAGAGGTGGTGGAAGAAGATAATCGGCCACGAAGAGCGCCTTCGTTCTGGTGACAGAACATCTGGAATCGGACCACGCGTAGGAACCGGAGGCACTGTTATAATTTCCGACAACAACAATGGAGGGGGCACAGTGACTGTGACAGTGTTCAATAACAACGGTCTCTTCCAAAAGATTAAGAGGTGGTGGAAGCGGATTTTTGACCGTGAAGCTTCGAGATCGGCTCGTGCACTGCGAAGATAAGAGCATAGTGATTTGTAAGCAAGCGAATATCGCTGCTGAACTTGATAATTTCATGATAATTTTGAGAATTGCAACATGCTTCCTCGTTTTTTGGGACCTTTACGAATGAGAAGTATCATAATTAGGCTCTACCACTCCTTCGACAACCAGCAACGGCACAATTTAAAGGATGGCTGTCGCTTTTGAAACATCTTTGGTAAAGACACCGGCAAGAGTTGCCCCCGTAGCGGTATCGTTAGCGGTACAATCGAAGACACGTTCACAACGCCACCTCAGCAAAATCAATCCTACGCCGTCAAGTGAAAGTGACTCGTGGTTTAGCGTTGTGAAGACTTGAAGCCAGTATATCTTCGACAATTTGACCACGATCCCTTACCCAGGTTGGTGGCGACAAGTTTCCGTGGACAACAGGGAGGTGGATCTGGTGTCGTCCTTGCTCGAGTCTCTCAATGAAAAATATGATACATGTACGCTTTTGTGAATCTGGTTACATTAACTTGGAGACTACAACGGCGGATAGATTTGCGGAATTCCTTTAAATTCTGGACCGCCGTAAAAAAATATTGGCCTCTGCGTACAGCACCGTCTGCGCGTTGTTCAGTCGCTAATACTGTAGTGAGGCTGGTGACCGACTTGGTCACTTGACGTGTGAAGCTTCTCCGTGGACCTGCGAGACGTATCATAAATGATGAAGACCTTCAGTAATGGAGTCCAGGTTGGCTTCATACACTTCGGAGGCACTGGCAATACCGCTGTCTCGGATTCAAGCTTGGGTAAAATTTTACCGAAGCATTTGATGCAACGTTTCTATCAATTAAATTGATTTTTTTTAATAGACTAAACTCTGTTTTTTTAGCTTTGGTATCCTTAATCTATTGTAGTCACCAAGACAACTCTTTGTGCTGGTTGATTTTTCACTAGCCGAGTGCCGCCACTACGCGACGGGTAGAAATGAATGTCGCTCCTTGTGTTTTGCCTCCGTTCCGCTCGCCACGGGCTCGTTTCACTACTCGCACGGTAGGTTGGCAGATTTGGCTCAGGCGGGCCCAAAGGCCCGCAGGGTTGCAGAAGGTGCCGATTTGGGCCGCCTCGCTGCGCTCGGCAGCTTTTAGGCCAATCGGGGCCACCTTCGCTGCGCTCGGCAGCCAGTAGGAATATTTCAATTATTTTATCCAATGATTTGTCCGGAAAAGCGTGACAGGCACGACAATTTAGTGTGACGGACAGACAGGTTGCTGCAGTAGATATTTAAGACTAGCCGTTCGCCGCCGCTACGCGGCGGAGTGGCATGGTTTGTTGGAGATGAGGTGGCCGCAATTTAAGTGCTTCTTGGTGTCGCGTGTTTTGAGAGCGTGGTTCACCCCGTAGATCTTGGCATCGTGTATTTAACCACTTGCCTTTCCGTAGTCTCATTCGGCCCCGTATAATATTGTGGTTTGGAACGCTTCCGTTACCCCGTACTACAGGTTAGATCTCATGTTCTACAGTGGCCGGCGCTCTTCCGTGATCTTCCTGGCTTCGTGGTTCCCTGCTCACCCCTGCTTAGTAGTTAAGAGCTCTCTCTTTTGGGTTCATGTTTTTTTAGTACTGCGTCGTGGCTGCTAACTATTTCCTGCTCTCAAACGTTTCGTGGGCTGCACCGGCTTCTTGATACTCAGTCTTTCGTGACCGTTCGCCTCCCATAGCTGGTACTCTAGCCGAATGGTGCTTTTCCGTGGTTTGGTGCCTCCACGCAGTCGTGTTGTTCCAGCACCCGTGTATCGGGCTCGTTTGGTGAGGCTCCATCGACCGCGTTATAACGCCATCGTGTAATTGCGATATGGTTTTGCTGTCTATGGTATTGTGCTCGCGGATTGCATCTGCATTGCCCATGTTATCGTGCTCTACAACGGTATCGTCCTCCACAATCGTGGTCACCACGAGCCCCCTTCCATTTCGTGGCTGGTCTGCCGTCCGTGCAATCGAATTCTACTGCGCTATTGTTCTCCGTGGCACGGTAAGCTCAGGTTCTACACTGATATAGTGCTCCGTGGCTCGGTGATTTCGCGTCTACAGCTCCAGTGGCCGCATTTCTATCATGGCTTAGTGTCTTGGCTACCGTCCAAGTCATCGTTTTATTTTGTGGTGTCAGCGCTGGTCTGCCGTCCGTTCTATTGTGAGCTACCGTAGTATCGTGCTCCCTGGCTCGGTAAGATCCGGTTCTACCCTGGTATCGTGGGTGATTTCCCTTTATGGTCTCCCGCGGCTTTATGCCTGGTCCGTCGACCGTGCTCCGTGCTCTACCGTGATGCTATGGGAGAATTGCTGTTAGTGCACTCTTACCGCTGCGTGCTCTTTCGTAGCCCGTGCTTTTCAGCATGCTGGGGTGTCTATGGATTTAGTTCCCTTCTGTCGCCCGTACGCTCCCGTCATATTCTTGTCGTTCTGTCCTGTTCATGGCTGCGTGCACTTCCATATTTCACGCTACGTAAAACACTTCGTGGTTTGCATCGGCTAAGGCTTCGATCTTTCGTGCTTCGTGTTGCTCTTCTATCCCATCGTCTACATAGGGTGGGTCGATGTTCCTTCGGGCTTCGTGCTCTTGCTTAGTCACGTGCCTCCGTAAACAAAATAGCTGTTCCCATTTTGTTTGATGTACGCTACATATATTGTTGGAAAGTTTGCAGAATATCTGAAGGTCGCACACTACGCGCGCAAATACAAAGGAAGATGACACTTTTTCCCGGAGGCAGTGTGGGGTGCAGGGGTGTAAGCCACAATAGTCATATTTTAAGTTTTTCACATTATTACTAATAGCAATAAAATTGTGATTTATTATCGAACACTGATATAATAACTATGTATACTACTACTACAAATAGTTGCAAGGAAAAATATGAAATGTATTGATAATAGTACTACTCAAAACATATTGTAAGTTTGATTTTTAGAAAAGTACTATGAAGCCTAAAATATCAGTCTATATCCAATAGCCACTAAAGTTTCGATTGAGGCCTAAATATAAGTCACCAGGACCTACGAAAATTTTCAACAGCTCCTACGACGATATTGTATGTGTGTGCACGTCAAAGCCTCCTATTAATGCTCATTAACGCGTGCACAGGCAGCGCCCTTTGCGTGGCCTTGCGAGCCGCAGCTGATAAATGAGAGCAAAATGCTATTGAACGCTGCATTTAAGTACGATGTGTTGACCACATACAGTGTGTTCACCGCATAATGCGATTTACCCTATCGACGCCGCCTTCGCTGCGCTCGGCAGCCAGTAGAACGCCCGCATTAGCGTGAGTTTTATTAGCCCTACCCTCGGACGGACTTACGGACAGACAACACACTCCACTAGAGAGGTAAGACTAGCCGTTCGCCGCCGCTACGCGGCGGAGGTGGCAGGCTGTAGCCCCAGGGGAAATTGGCTCACGCCTTCGCTGCGCTCCGGCGTAGACATGATTTATGTAAACGTGATGTATTAAATGCATTTGAAATTGAACATTCCTACTCCGAACCAAAGATCTGCCTGTAGACAATGTTCTGGGCGTAGACCCCATCCTCCTCCTCCAGCTTTGGGTACTCGACCAGCGCCTTGAATCTTGATCGAAGTGACTCGCGACATCGCAACGTTCAGCTGCCCGTGGGAGAAGCAAGGCGTAGCAAGATACAGCCCCAAGTACTGCACCGTTTGTCCTTGCGCCTTGTTAATCGTCATCGCAAAGGCCGGTTGGACAGGAAACTGCTTGCGTCTCAAATGAAACGGAAAGCTCCGAATATCTCCGTCACTGATGAAAACAATGCGGGGAATCAACACATGTTGCCTATGTCGCTCACCTGTCATGATTGTGGCGTGGATGACATGTGGCTTGAGGGCCACAATTCGAAGCCGTGTTCCGTTGCACAGCCCTAGATCTGAATTCAGGTTCCGCATCATCATGATAGGCATTCCTACCTTGAGGGTCAACTTGTGGGGAGGCATTCCACTGATATTCATCGAGTGGAGTACCTCCTGCTCGAAGAAATTGCCGTCACCGTCGTCTTGTACAGAATCGGAAGACATGTATTCCCGCGCCTGTCCAGCTAATCGATCGGTCACCGCTTCATTGATGCGGTGCACGATTGCGTTCGTGGTCGTGAGAATCGTACGGTTAGCGAAATACTCATCGGTAGCAACTTCGGGGTTGTTAATCTCGCCATACATTTCGTCGATGATCCGATCCATGCCTCTTGGAATAACACCAGGACGAATTTCCTGGTCCTCATCCTCAGGCACAGGTGGATTCTCAATCAGCATATCGCGCGGGATCTTCATGTAATCGTTTCCTAGGGAAGGGTTTACATCATGCCTTCTCTCCCCGACTTGCAGCAGGAACTCGGAGAATGCAGCCATTTCCTCAGCCGTGTCTGCAGTATCAGCTGTGCGCACTCGCATGTTTTCCGTAAGACGGAACGTCTGGAATTGGGGCCACAGCCTAGACGACTTGAGGCAAGCGTCAATTGTCTCGACGGGTGTTCCATTCTTAACGACCGGGAGAATTTGGCGGAAATCGCCCGAAAGTACAAACACTTTCCCCCCAAAAGGCTCGGTATCGTTGTCAAGTATGTCCCGCAGTGTTCTGTCTACTGCCTCGAATGCGTGGCGATGGGCCATAGGTGCTTCGTCCCAAATAATCAAACTTGCATGCTTGATCAACTCCTGAATATGGGAGTTCTTCCCT